ATATTTCTTAGGATCCAAAATACTGGGGGGGGGGCGGAATATGAAAAAAAAAATCCTGCTTCATCTCCAACATTGAATTCAGTTTTGTTAAAGCTCTTAATATGCATACATTTTAAAGTGAAACTTTTGACACTTAAATTGTGAACATTTAATATTCAGAGGATCTAATGGTTTCTTCGGTGCTGTATAATCTTTGGACACGTGTACACTGAAAGTAGCAGCAATATAATAATATTCTTTTTACCCCTACTTTTGATTGCTTACTTTCACTTACATTGCACCTCAAGTTAGTTGCAAGATTTCTGCTAGGAACATCAAATGCATTTTAACTGGTGGTATAATGGGAGCACAGCCATATACAGATCTGTATATGATGCTTGCATTGCTGGTTTCCCCACAGCAAGAAAACTGATTCTTTCTTTCTTTGACTAAGCTTTTCTTCAGAACTTACCTGAGATTTAGAGAATACCAATACCACTTCCATACCATACAGGCATAACACAGTAGCACTGTCAGGCATATCACACCCTCTCTTGGTGCATATATCACCGATTCTGGATGTGAAGTGATGTAGCCTATTTAAAGCAGCACTAGTCTCAGGTTCTCAGTCTCAGCTGTGCTTATTTGGATACACTCAGCCCCACATTAAGGAAACTATTGAATCATTACTGGAGTTTTATACATGGAATGGAAGTTCTTTCATTCCCTTAGTCCAGTTCAAGAGATACACCATATTTTGAGCTCATTTAAGGGAGGGTGAAAACTATTTCTAAAGATATTTTTCTTAATTTTGAATTTTTTTAAAGTTTGAAATGTGCCTATAGCATCCTTATTCAATAGAAACACTCTGTGTTTTTCAACCCATTTAATTGTTTTTTGGGTCATTAATGGTTGATTTTAAATGTTGGTTAATCACTTGGAAATTTCTTGCTGATTTGTGACAGAATGAAATATCATTTTTATCTTGAATTTAAGGATTTAACCATGTGACTAAGAGTTAAGCTATGTTTAGGGTTTGGCTTGTTTTTTCAATTCATCAGCACAACACAATATTTTTATTATTCATGGCTAATTAGAAAAAAGGCTTGGAGATGGGGAGTCAACATAACTAGAAACTAGAACAGCAAGGTACTTAATCCTGGATTTCCTTTCAGTTTCCTTATTTTAGGCAGTTTATTTGCTGAATTCTGAGTTAGGCTCTTATTTTCCATCAGGCACTCTTATAATCATACAAAAATAGGCCTGGAAGGGACCTCTGGAGGTCATCTAGTCAAACCCTCTGCTGAATCAACCCAGGGGAGTACTATAGTAGTACATCTAGTCCAACTTTTCTGCAGTGGCTTTAGCTACAGCAGCAGGGAGGGCAAGACAGAGGTGGTAGGTGCAGGAGCAGAAGTTGGTAGTTCACTACTTCTGAAATAGATGTCACTTCCTTCTTTTCACCACTGATATGGGTGTTGAGTGGTCAACTCCCTCCCTCCCCCCCAAAAAATCCCCAAACAGTTTTCAGATACTTGAACATGGTTATTAACTCCCCTTTCAGTCTTCCCTTCTCCAGACTAAATAGTTCTAGTTCTCAAAACCTTTCCTTGTAAATCATCTTTCTTTTACTCTTCTTGGTTGGACTTCAGTTTGTCCACATCTTTCTTGGAGTGCAGTGCCCAAAACTGGACACAGTGCTTCAGATGAAGTCTCATCAGTGCTGAATAGAGTGAAAGAATCACCTTCCTTGACTTGCAGGTGACACTTGTATTAATACAGTCCACTATCTCATTGGCTTTGCAACAAGAGCTCACAGTTGACACTTTTGGCTTGTTGTCCTCTGTAGACCCCAAAATATTGCAGAGTAGCTGTTCATTCCCCAATTCAATTGCTCCATCCTAAATGTAGGATTTTTCACTTGTCATTGAATTTCATTCAATTAATTCTGGATCATTTTTGCAGTTTGTCAAGATCATTCTGAATCATAAATTAAGTTTTCAGTGTAAAATAATTTGGTACACAGGCTTATATATGAATTGTATTTTGGCTAAGAATACTACTTTTGACTAAGAATTCTGAATCATAATCCTTGCCTCCAAACTGTCTGCAACATCCCACAATTTTGTCTCATCTGCAGATTTGCCAGATATCTACTCAATCCCATTCTCATTAATGAAGATATTAAATAGTAGCAGATCCACGATGAACTCTGGGAAACCAAACTTGATACTTTCTTCCAAGTAGACATTGAAACATTGATGACTATTCTTGAGCATAGTGATCCAACCACTCATGTATCCACTACACAATACTTTCATTGAGGGCAGGAATGGGCAAAATGGCAGAATCACCCAGTGGCCAGACTCTATTTCCCAGTAGCCCCTACCCACATGCATGGGGTCGGTTTCCATGGAGACTCCAGCAGCAGCCACACGGTGATAGCGTGGGGCTGGGGTTTCCATGGATACCAGCACCCAGCAGTGCTGGCAGGGTGTGTGGCCAGGCAGGGAGCTGCTCTAGGGCTGGGCTGGAATCTTGCAGTGGTGACATTATGGCCCAGAGCTGGGGCTGAGCTGCAATCTAGGCAGGGGCATGCAGGTAGCGGACTGTGGCTGTGCCCCGGCTCCTTGCAGTGGTGACAGCATGGTCCAGAGCTGAGGCAGAGCCACAATGCACTGTGTACATGCTCTGGGCAGGGGCATGTAGGCAGTGGGTTATGGCTCTGCCCCAGCCTCGCCCTGCACTAGCTCCCTGTCCTATCATGCACCCTGCCAATGCTGCTGGGGCTGATCTCCATAGAAACTCCAACCCTATGCTAGCTCCCGAGCTGGGGCTGAGCTGCAATCTAGGCAGGGGCATGCAGGTAGCGGACTGTGGCTGTGCCCCGGCTCCTTGCAGTGGTGACAGCATGGTCCAGAGCTGAGGCAGAGCCACAATGCACTGTGTACATGCTCTGGGCAGGGGCATGTAGGCAGTGGGTTATGGCTCTGCCCCAGCCTCGCCCTGCACTAGCTCCCTGTCCTATCATGCACCCTGCGCAGCTGCTGCTGGGGTCTTCATGGAAACTCACCCCAGCCATATGGACAGGGGGTGCTGGGAAATGGAGTCCACTGCTGGCTGGATCCAGCCCGTAGCCCAGACTTTGTCCACCCCTGATTTAAGGTGTATTTCTTTAGCTTGCTAATAAGAATATCATGGGAAACCGTGTCAAAAGCATTCCTGAATATGAGGTGCATTGCATCCACTACTCTCCCCCCATCCACAAAACCTATCGCCTTGTCATACAAGGGAGTCAGGTTGGTCAACCATGACTTGATCTTGACAGATCAGTCCTGGTGGCTTTTTATGACCTTGTATCCTTTGGGTGCCTAGAAATAGCTTCTTTGATATGCTTAAGGTTTTTATGGGTGGGAGGGGGTTGGTTATTAAAAACCATTTTCACTACAATTTGTATCTCTCTTCTGCTTGATTACTTCTAGTTATCTTATTTTAAGGCTAAAAAATTTTAACCCACATATCTATTTCTTTTTAACAATTAAGAACAACATTAAAACTAAAATTTTGCATTGAGCCCTTTATGCAACAGCTATCTAAGATTTTTTTTTTTTGCTGTATAAATGGTCCATTTTAATTTAAAATAATATTGTCCACAGTGTTGACATTTGAGTCCATCATTTCTGGAAACAGGATTTGTTCTGGCTTCAGTGATATTCTGGCTTTTCAGGAATAATTGAAGCTGAGTGCTACGTTAAAAGAGAAAAAAAAAATCAGCATGTCTCCCTTGTGCTTGGTGAGGGAAGTAGTATTCTTAGTCAAAATACAATTCATATATAAGTCTGTGTACCAAATTATTCCACGCTGAAAACTTAATTTATCTATGGCCATATAATTTGCCAGAAAAGGAATCTCTCTCCTGGAGTTACTCCCTGAAAGTTTTATAATACTGTAACAAGGAATGTGTTAGAATCCCCAATGCTTAAAGCAGTGGTTCTCAACCTTTCTAAACCCAAGGTTCCCATTGCTAGAATCGGTGCCCCATGGAAGATACCAGCCTCAGCTTTCACTCATTTTTTGATTACAGAAAAATAATACAAGTCTTCCATGGCAAAAACCTCAGAAAAACCACAAGAGATCATACTATTTTTATAATATTGATTCCAATTGGAGATCTCTAGGTTTAACTTGTGAATCATGCATAGGTGTTGATATTATACAGCATCCTGTGGCACCCTTATAAGAATCTTCTCATGCCTCAGGGTACCATGACATCCTGATTGAGAATCACTGGCTTAAAGCTATCTGGAACTTAGTCTGCATATTACTTAATGTGTTAGTTTATGAAGCAAACACACAGTATATACTCAAATGTATAAGGCTAATATTCACTTTCAACTACTAAAATATGCAGTATCAGGGGTGTGAATGTGTTTTTCTTTACAAGATTTGAGACCTTTTTTATTTCTCTAAAAGTGATCAAAGAACATCCCAATATGTACATGGTTATTTTGCTTTTTAAATAAAATTCATCTTGGCAAAGAATGCATCAAACATTCAAATAAAATACAAATTCTCACAGTTTTAGCTTACATCTAAGATGGAAACCATTGTGTGGTTTTGGAAACCAAATCAATTCCAAGATAGACACAGTTGGAAATGTTTTTTTTATATGACAGCCTGTTTTTTACAGTCGGTAACATCAATGTGAAGTTGAAGCTGAAAATGTATATCTTAATGGAGGGTGAAGTCAATGAGAATTTTTCCAGTGGCTTCACTAGGGCTAGGATTTTACCCAGACTATTTGGCTAGCTGTACTTGTAATAGCTTTCACAGCAGAGGCACATTTGAACATCCTGAATAACAGGTAATTATTGGGGCGGTGGGGTGTTTAAGGCTTAGACAAATATGGTACATAGTATTTGGTGTTTCCTGAATTTGTAATTAGTAGTACAAAATATTTAATAAATCTCAGCACCTGAGTGAAAGGCAATAAATGTTTGTTTGTTTTTTTCCTTGGGCAGGTTGTCAAGTTGTTAAGTAACAAAAGATCACAGGCAGTTGGAATATTAATGTCCAGTCTTCATTTAGATATGAAAGACATACAACATGGTAAGTAATATACTATATATTTCTGCCTAAATCTTAGAAAGTAATGTGTGTCGGTATATATATTTCTATTGGATGCATTTTATTATTACCCAAGAGAGATGGGCCAGTTGAATGTGACTTTTTCCTCAAAGAGTTACAACCACAACAGAACTCAGAATCAATTTCTTTAGATATGAGAAATCTGGAGGCTTTGTCTCCAGCCTGGTGCATGAGAAAATATTGATGTTTTTGATGCATACTTTTTACTGAAATAGCATCACTGGCAAACTAGACATCTGGAAGTGTTAATTATGATTTGCATTGTACTTTTTGCTATCTAAAATAGTTCCTGGGTTTATCATTAGAATAATACATGTAAGCTTTATATTTATTTTGCCTTGGTTTTATAAAGAGAAATCTTTTAGAGAGATGTAATAATTGTCATATTTATACAAAGATAGCAGTGTAAAACAGGGGGAAATGGAGTTCTATTCAGTGTCCCTATGCTTCCCAGAGGCTTTGGATAGATATGAAGCACATTGAATTAGCCTATAAAGTTCCAGGCTATCTATTAAATAAATATGGTTTTGAGTATAACACAGACTACATAAATCATGAAAACATCTTGCTAGCTTTCTAGCCTATGTATTTACAGACGTGAATTCCATTTGCTGAGCTGAGATTTATTTTGTGGAATAATTCATAAATAGAACAAATTTTAGTGTGTTCTGTCAGCCAGTGAGTAACCCTTAATCACAATTTAAGTTTTTATTAAATTGTTTTGATGGTTACTAGACTTCCTCAAGCTGAAGCATTTAGGATGGTAGTCATAGAGCGAGGCGCCAGTACTGGCGCCAAGAAGTACTTGGTATTTCTAAAGCTGGCAGATGTAGTTCAGTTAAGTCATAGAGTGAAATCTGAAAACAATGATATGGTCCTTTCCTTCAGTCAAATATTCAGCTTGGTTTGAGTTAATAATGAGAACCTTATGAACAAAGGAGTCCGCCTAACATCTGTGTCTGTGGTAAAGCCAACACAAGTTCATTGAAAATTTGCTTGCTTAACATGCAATACTAACAATAACATGGCAAGGATGTCAGTAGTTGAAAGGGTCAAACAATATATGCTTAACCTTGATCCTATTAGGATATTAAGTACATATGATCATCTGTAAAAGTTACACACTGTCCTATATAGTTCCTTTCAATAGCTGTTAGATTAAAACCAAAAATCTTTGCTGAAGCACTGTCTATTGTGCTTATTAGTTTGCTGTCTAAAGCCTAATGAAAAATTGTGAATTAGAAGCAACACTATTCTATTTGCTGGAAAATGATTTGAAGAATCTGTTGTTTATTGTTAAGTTTTAGATGGCAGGAGCAAGAAAGCAGCATGGACTGTCATGTCAGTATGGTGTGCTGCAGCCACATGCCTCCTCTTCCAGGGCCTTCTTTTAAAAAGAAAACAACCAACTCACTAATTTGACCCATCATTTCCTCAGATATCTGACCGCTTCCTTTCCGGATACCTAGTATGCCTGTCTCTGTGTAGACAAATACACTCCCTCTTTTTGCAGGCCATATATGTTGCTGTTGTATGGCCAGGGGTAATATTCTGGAGGACAGTGTTTCTGTTATACTTACCCTCCACCCCTGGACTTCTTCAGGGCCAGCTGCCTGATTACTGGGCCTATAAGTGGTCCCTACTATCCTTTCTTTTGTCAGACCCCAGAAAACCTGATCTGTAAATATCTTTTGCTTTGGCCTAAGAGTATTGCAATGATAAAGTGGCACAGATTGAGTAGTGTTGTCAACTCTGATTTTTATCATGACTCTCATGATTTATTGTTTTTCCTTAAGCTCCAGCTCTTGGTATCAAATAACTATGAGAGAGTCTCATAGTTGGGTTCTTTTTCGTTTGTTAAATGAGATTATAGCTTGTAGGATTAGGCTGAGAAGTTTTTGAAAACATTAACAGAGTGAATCCTACAGTCACAGATATTTATCTGTGACCAGGAGATGACTTTCTGAGTGCTATGAAACTGCCAGCCCTTTCTGAAGACTCCTGTCTGATGTCACTTGACCCCCAACTGAATGTCTGAATCATAGGAGAATCAGTGAGTTGAAAGAGGAAATGAGGGGTAATACTTCACTCTCAAACACTTTGACTCACTATGATCTCAGCTGAGTTACCCCAGTACATGACTGATGCATCCAAGCAGCTGGTAAAGAGGTACCAGGAGTGAAATTTGGGATTCATTAATGGCAAGGGAACCCCCCACCCCCACATTGACTTCTGGGCCTGGATTTAACCCTCAGAGTTATTATATCAGTGTCCAACTTCTATATCTCATCAGACCACCATCAGAGCCTCTGAAGGGAGTGGTATTAAAAAGCTTTGTGCTAATTGTGCACTTTGGGCCTTTGTCTACACTTTTGCCTAGGTTTTCCTGATGAGTTCTTTACCCACTTCTCCTGCTTTGTGCCCACTAAGTCCATACATGTAACAGTGAACTGGCTTTGTTTCTAGGTTTAGCATATGTGATGCAAGAATGGGTGGGTGAGGGGTCTGTTCTATTGAAACAGCCTGGAGAGGACCCAGGGCACCAGCGTAGTTGTAGCCTGAGGATCTTGGACTGTGAGGTGAGAGATGGTAAAAGTAAGGCCAGTAGAAAGAGGAAAATAGGAGATGAATACAGCTTCTCTAATCTAGCACCTAGGGAAGGATGGGGAGGTCCTGAAACCATCCCCAGGGACTGAGAGATGGCCTCACCCACAAAGGAATTGGGAGTCCCCAGACTTTCCCATGCGTAAGACTCCTGTGGTGTCTGTAGCCTATTTGAATAAGTTATTAGTGACTTTTTCTCAGGTTTGGCTGAAGCAGCACATTCCCCACTCACTATTACCTCCCCCTTGTAGGGAGTTCCTCTCTTCCTCCTTCTCTCTATTTGAGAGATTGCTGAAATTTCTGATTGTAGACACTGCACCAAAATAATCAGGCTATCAGTGAATACAATTTTTAACTGTATGTCCAAGACTACCCTCATTTTCTACTAATGCCTCAGTTTGCCTTGGACTTAGTTATGCAAGATTTATATTTTTTAAGTGCTGGGGGGTTTTTTAGGCAGGAAAGATTCTTTGGGTAGTTGTGATATCTTTTATTAGACCAACTACATAGTTGGAAAAATGTTCTTTGCAAGCTTTCAGGCACAAACATCCTCCTTTTTGCTAACTTTTAAAGTATGCCTATTAAAATGCTGGAGGAAGGGGCAAGATATTGCAATTAAAATAAATTAATAGATATGCATGAGCTCTCTACACTTCTGAATTTCAGGCCTTTATGACAACCCAATAAATAAGGAATTTATTATTAATGCTCATACATCTCCCCGGTGCCCCACATCAGAGTTTGTAGCTCCCTCCTGCTTGTTTTCCTTCTGTAGATTTCAAGAAAAAACAGATTTAGGCTTACTTACCTTGCACATAATTTATCTTGAATTTGATAGTTGGAATAAAAGAATTGTCACCAACAACAACTTGTGATATCTGGCAATTTTCTTGTTATTGGGTTATGTCATAGTCATGTGCAGAAAATGCAGCTGCAATGTTAATTGTAGATGTGGTTGTAAAGACTTAAAAGTGACCACTTGCATAAGACATTAATAAAGTTTTTGCTGATATGCTGTATAAGGGCTCCTTCTTTGTCTTTTATGTGATACCATTTTATTTTTCCTGTAGATGAATCAAATCTCAAATATTTTCAAGAATTTATGGGAAAGCATATGTGGGATAACCGTGAATTAGGTTGAATAATTTGATTATAGTTTATAATGTATTTTCATAATACTTTTTAGAATGCCTTGAAACTGGTGCAAACTTTATACTTATCAGTTTTGTGGCTTTTTGAAAATGCAGAACATGGTGAAACATTCTCTTCCAACAAATCTTAATCCTAGATGACAGGTAGATTATTTTGGAAACTTGGAATTTGAATAATTCATGATGTTTCTGTAACCTTTGCTCTCTTGAATATTTGGAGCCAGCTACCATTTCATAAATTTGTGATCAGCTGGCACTTTATGGAAGTTTGCATCATCAATACCGTGTGTATTAGGTGGATGGAAGCGGGGCAGAGGGCATGGGGGAGGAGTACATGAATTGCAGCTAATGAAGTTGGATTAGTCTGCTTCTTGCTTTGAACTGAATTCAGTCAGACACTTGCCCAAGTCCTGGTGGCTGTTTAAATATTTTTACAATGTGGAAGAAGTTCTTTTAATAAGCCGAACATATTTTTACTGAACCCTAATGGATCTTTTCCAATAGTGCTTTAAAGTCATATATATGACTTTATATATTGATTCTAATTGCTAACAGATCTTCCAAATACTTTATCCCATCTAGGTTAGGATTTTAAAAAATGTTGTTCTCAGTAATCCCAGTGTCATTTTCTATGTTATTAGTTGCTACAGTATAAAAAGAAGATCTCTTCTCGTGGTTTCTCTTGTTTCATGCTTGCTTGTACTGATGCCCATTCATTGCAATGGTCAATCAATTACCTCAAAACACTTTATTCATTCATTTTGATTACTTTCCCCCTACCCCCACAAGCCCTCCTTAACACTAATATCCTCAGCTCATCTTGGCCAGTATTCATTCCCACTAGAATTAGGCTTGTGCTTGTCTTCAGGAAGCAGTTGAAGTTTGAGTAAGGTATATCGAGCACTTACCTTGCATTTTCCCTCTAAAAGATATTTTTCTTTTCTAAATGAAGGATGTTTATTTTAAGATGCATATGGGGGTATCTAAAACTTTGAGAAATGCAAAGTATCTTACAAAGAGGTATCTTACAAAGAGTTTTAGTACAAATTCAAATAAGTATTTTGGTAGTGAAAGATAAAGGTTCCATTAAAAGGACCATATAGAAGTGGTTATGATAAAATGTTTTTGATTGACATTTTTTAATTAAAGACATTTTAATAAAAATGTGCTTTTTTCCAACAAAAATATTTTTCATAAGAAAACTGA